CAGTGGATGTTTTACATGCTAGTATCTCGTAGGGAAAACTGAGCTCACAAGATTTAGCTTGGCTTCTGCGAGGTTGAAAGGTCCGTATAGGAATGATGTGTTTGGCAACTGGCATCAGCCTTTCTTTAATAAGGCAGTGAAAATAAAGTCAGGAATACCATTTGTTAGTGTGAAATTAGATAGACAAAAAATCTAAATGTTGCTCTGTTAAATTAAATTTGATGGGAGCTGTCCATACAGTCTGCACATCATTTATTATTATTTATTTTTTTGTCTTCCTGCAGGTATGAGTACCATTGGGCTGATGGAACCAACATCAAGAAGCCCATCAAATGCTCTGCTCCCAAGTATATTGATTACCTCATGACCTGGGTGCAAGACCAGCTTGATGATGAGACACTTTTCCCTTCAAAGATTGGTATGCTTTGTGTTTGTTCTCTCCCTCTCTGGCGAATCCATCTTTTTTGATGTTACTCTCTGGCTTCTATTACAGCTCAGCTCTAAAGAAGAGAAACTTTCATACACCTGCTGAATGTCTAATGAATAAGTGTTTGCCAACTGTTTCCTAGCCAACGTCTGTGTAATGTTAGGAAAAAAGGGCTCTGCAGCCCACAGAAGGGTTATTACTAAAACGCGAAAACCTTTGTGTCTTTTCTGTGAAATTCAACTGTCTTGCAAAATGAATGACAGTTAGAATTTACAAACACAAGGAACAAGTTAAGTATTTAGAAGCTGTGGTGGGAGCTTTAATCAGGAACTTGTTGTCCTGTCAGTCACCAGCTTCTTTTGAATAATTGATATTGAGTTGTACTGTAGCTCTCTGTACACTGTAAGAAGAAGCTCTCCACCGGGCTTCTGCACTCCCCAGCTGTTCACTGAGTCATAGGAGAACTGCACAACACATCTGAGGTGTACAGAGCAGTGCTGTTGTAACAACATCAGAATTTCCTAACTACAGATGAACTCTCGACACATTGTTACCAGGAGTTGGCGCCGTTGCAGTTCCGATTGTTTGCACTTCCCTTAAATTGTGCTGTGGTCTGCTTGTGAAGACATTTGCAATCCAGAATACATCCTGTAGCTGCGTCCTCTGTAGCCCTGAGCTTTTGGGGCTTATTAAGATGAACAGTGGCGAGAGAGAGAGAAAAATGTACAGCTTGAGTGAACTTTGTGTCTTTCAATTTTTCCAATACATTCTTTGTGTTTAAGCTATGACTGAATAATCCAAGCAAAAATATCACCAATAAATGGGCATTTTGAAACTTCAGAAATCTTGAAAGAACCCCTTCATCTGGAAGTGTTTTCATCAAATCACTTGCTCAACCTGACTGCTGACTATATTATCTACTATGTTTGTATATATGTTTGATGAGAATCTGAACAAAATCTTTTCTTTCTTTCCCTCTTGTTCCCAAGGTGTCCCCTTTAAGCGAAACTTTATGTCAGTGGCCAAGACCATTCTGAAGCGCCTGTTCAGGGTCTATGCTCACATTTACCACCAGCACTTTGACTCTGTCATGCAGCTGCAAGAAGAAGCCCACCTCAACACGTCGTTCAAACACTTCATCTTTTTTGTTCAGGTAAAGGATCTCTCACATTTGAATGTTGACTTTTATGTAATTTTCACTTTAGGTATACTGTATATTAGTAATTTAAAATGTAGCATATAGTGGATAATCATGTTTGCTTCCACTCCTTTGTCATTTTCAGGAGTTCAACCTCATTGACAGGAAAGAGCTGGTCCCACTTCAGGAGCTGATTGAAAAACTGACAACCAAGGATAGATAAACAGCGATGTAATCCTTATTTTATTGGTCTTCTAGTTTGCACAGATACCCACCCCACCCTGGCTGTATGTATGCAGTATATACTATATTTCCATTTGGGGAAATGTTTTTAATAAGGCCAGGAAGAAGGAAGGGTCGTGATAGGTTTAAGGCACCAGGACTAATGCAATCAGGGATTACACATTTAATTGAACAAACCACAGAATAACATATTGGAGAAAATGGTTTTCGCTGTATGGAAAGATCCCCAGTGTTAGGTCACAGGCGTACATTTAGGATAATATAGACATATGTTCATTAGTTTATATTATACTGCACAGATTTGTGTTTGTTTTTTTTCCTCACTTGGATTTATGGCAACACGAGGCATTTTCATGCTCTTAGATTTTCCAACTCACCTGCAGGGAAGAATAGTGAGTGAGCAAAGTTACTGTATCATAATGGGGGGGGGGGTTGTTGGCTTTACGGCAAGAATTTAAGCCAGTTTAGCAGCAGAAGCTAGTTATTTTATTAATTAATTTACATAGAAGGATCTGGGTTGCAGTCTACTACTGTTCACAGCTGTAATAGCCCACATCTGTCAATACAAAAGAACCCTAAGTGCCTAGCATGGCTCATAATTGCCCTATGTCAACAGTGGGAACTGGAAGAAGATAAAGGCCATATACCACTGATTTGATTGACAAAACACAAGCTTTTCCTCCACACGTCCCTTTAAGTTTATGTGGTTCTTAATTCCCTCTTACACCCATTTTTGATTTGTACTGTAATTTGGTTCAAACTGCATTTTCTCTGTAAAACCATACTCCTCAACCTTATCCTTATTGAGTTAGAAACTTCTCTTTAGCGAGTGTTCTGTGCAGGTCATGATAAATGAATGTGTTGAAGGACATTGACGTGAGGCTAGAAATATTGTCATGTTAAAGCAAGGACTAAAAATTAACCAAACTTTTAGCGTTTTCTAGTGCCATGTTCCTGTGTACTAGTTTTTCCCCCTCAAAAAAAAAACTTGAAGTAGAAAACAAATTTTAGGAAAAGTCTTCAAGGGATCTAAAACTTTAAGGTGTATATAAATGTCCCCAAATAGAAGTAGAGACCTGTACTTAAAGTCACAACCTCCACTGCTTAAGAATACAAGCGTTTAGCATTGGATTATGCTGCATCCCTTGTTATCTCACTAGCCATAAAGCACTTTGAACAATTTCCCTGACCTCTCTCGCCTGAATGTTTTATTCTGCATAGACTGTGCTTTGTGAGAAGCCGTATCATGTGACTGATCATAGTCTGTTTCCTCCCTCATGTTTCCCCAAATGAATGTTGAATTGCTTAACCTCGGCTTAAATTGGCTACAAGGCACAAGTGTGATTTCTTAATGCTTTTATATGGTCTGAGATGTTTGTTGCTGTGCTTCAAACAGCAGATGCATGTGCCCTTCCCAAACTCAGTGTAGTTTACTATGCAATAATTGACACAACACTAAAAGGGTTACCAGTTGGCTCATTCATACTTTATCTAATATTCCTTTTCCTTTTTAGTGCTTAAATTCTGGTGTGTGATAGAAATATAATTGCTTCTCTTTCAGGTTTGGTTTCAAAAAACGGTGAACGTGAACATTTTATATATCTTCTTATTTGAAATTAGTCAGAGGTGTAATACTTCATTGCACACATGTAAATACTGAGGGTTAGACCTGTCTTAAAAATAATTTTCAGCGAGCATGGAGTGGTAGCTTTTGGTTTAAAGAATGCGTTGAGTCTTTTTAGAGGCTGCTTCCCCTCCCTCTTTTGGATATTAAAATATTGTTTGTTTTAATTGTTGAGTATCTTTTTCCCCCACTTCCTTAGCTAGCTATTATGAATGTTACTGCTCACCAGATATCTAAAAATGTAATAGAAAATCAGTCATCCTGAAAGCATCTCATAGTTATGAAATGCCCATAACATAGCCTGTTGCCTACAGTTTTTCCTCCTTGACTGTAATAATTGATGAAATGTTTGTAAATAATGGCTTGGTAGGGGTTTTACATGCTACTGAATTGATTTATGCTGTTTACAAGGCAAATAAAGGTGGTCTTGACTCTTTGAATGAATATGGATGTTTACTATGATGCATTGTTATACATAAAACCACCCCAAAGTGTATAAAAAAGCAATTAAAATGAGATCCTCTGCAACCAATGACAACATTAAAGTGTTGCTTAAGTGCTTGTGTAGTAATAAGGATCCGAACAATGACATGGGGCATTATGCACAATCAGTACTTTTAGTTTTAAAACCTGGAGTGTATTTTGCTGCCAATACATTTGTATTGTTACTTCAATTAAATTTTCAGTCTCATTTGTGGGATTGATACTTTTACTTTAAAGTAAATGCAGTGGTGAAAAATACACATTGACTCAAGCAATTTACTTATGTACAATAATGAGATACCTGCACTTCACTTACTTCCTTTTTATGCTACTTTATATTGCCACTCTACCCATTTTCTATTTGCTTCACAGTTCTGTAACAGCTGTTACTAGTTCCTTTTCATGTAAAGATTTTACAAACTAAACAAATGATGCATTATTATACATTAAAGTACCCAACAGTAGATTAAATCGTCCCACCTTAACCAACAGCATACTAATAAGTAATTTATTCTTTTGACACTTGGAAGTGCAATTTGTTGCCAATACATTTGTACTTAAATGTCATTTTTTATTACTTGTGGTCGAATATTTCTCATTTTTGGGATTGGTACTTTTACTTAAAGCAAATGCAGTGGTGGAAAATAACACATTTACTCAAGTAATGTAGCCTACATAAGTACAATATTGAGATTCTTCACTTCTATTTTATGCTACTTATACTGCTACTCTACCCATTTTTTATTTTCTTCACAGTTCTTTAACAGCTGTAGTTCCTAGTTACTTTTCATATTAAGATTTTACATACACATAATATGATGCATTACTCATAAAGTACCCAACAGGAAATAGTTCCACTTGCACCATCAGCATAATACACTTTTTACTGTTGATACTTGTTACCATTATTAAAATACTTTGCTTAAGTAAATAGAAATGCGGGTATTTTACGTGTAATGGAGTGGTTTTATAGTATGATATTATTACTGTGAATACTAATTCCAGCACTGTGCAACAACAGAGCGGGCTGGAGCGGCTGCTGCTTCCTGGGCGGAGACACATCTGTGCAGTAAAGCTCAGCTTCCTGACGTCTGTTGCCGCCAAACCTTAAACAACAAGGAGCCCTCCGCTCACTGCAGCAGCTGCACCAGCTTCATCTAAGAAGGAAGACTTAACTATATTTGCTGGAAAATGCCTTTTACTTCAAAGAGGCCCTGCCCCGATGTAATGAACGACTCAATGGAGAAAAGGATAAAGCGGATATCAGTCGAGGGAAATATTGGTGAGTGCAGCCAAAGACTTTCTGCGGTGCAGCGCTTTTTGTGCCAAAAAAGCGAAATGTCACTTAAATTAACAGGCTAACTAACGCTAGCTTTAAACCATAGACTGTATTAAACCCGATCCAAACTAATGTAGGTGCAGGTGTCACGTTAGAGAAAGTTAATTAGTTAAGATCGGACTGTGAGATCTCTAGTTTTACCGATGGATGTTTTAACATTAATATCTAACCGCCAATTGCCAGGTTGTTAGTAACTTACTGCCTCACTGAACTATTATCTACCGTGCTCTGTGGCCTGCATAAGTTAGTGTGTTGGTAGACGCCTTGACTTATTTTATATTCAACTTGAATTGCTTCCTCCTTTGTGTTCAGCGGCGGGCAAATCTACCTTTGTGCGCCTTTTGGAGCAGGAGAGCAGCGACTGGGAGGTGGTACCAGAGCCAATCGCCAGATGGTGCAATGTCCAAACAAAAGGCAGTGACTTCGAGGTATTGTACAGTATTCCGGTATTCCTGCATTCCTGCAACAGTGCTGACACTCATATACACACACTTGCTGTGAAATGACCTCAGCTTAACCTCTAACTTAATTGTGGCCATTGGGAGGCAACTGACTGCATCTAAGTCATCACACACACACACACACACACATGCACTGGTCACCACCACCAACACACACACCCAGAGCAACAGATGGTCCCACCAGATGAACATGCCATCCTCGGGGCAGAAATCTCTAACCTCCCCCACTGTAACTGCAGGCCTAACCTTACCCTCAGACTAATTTTCAGTCTTTCAATTCGCCCATGTGTTGCTTGGTTTTATTTGAGCGAGTATTTTGAAGCATGCCATATGAAAATCTCATGATAGTGTAGCCTCTCCCATGATGAACAATAATACTTAAACGACTGAATTAATGTAATTTGGAAATGTATAAACACTATCAGATGAAAGCAGGGTTCAGTATGTTGCACACATGTAGACTCTATTAGGGATGAGTCATTGTTTTTATGGAGTGCTGGACTAAACATTGTTTTCATTATCGATTTTAATCTGTCAGTGATTTCCTCAATTTAATTGTTTGGCCTCTAAAATGTTTGAAAATAGAGAAAAATACAATGTATAAATATAATGTATATTGTTGTTCAATATGTTCAATTTACTATCATAGAAAACGTGACATTTTTGCTTCATAAATTACTAAAACAATTCATTGATTATTAAAATTGTTGCTGATTATTTCTTTGTTGATTCACTAATCATGTCAGCTCTACTTTTATGGTATTTATATATTTTTCTGCTTACATGAAAGCTATAATTCTTGATTGCCTAAGAATAATAGTGTTAAATTAAAGTCAGAATCATCACAAAGATATTATTTGGGGTCAGTACAATTGCAAACCCTGCAAAAACAGTACTGTACTGCTCCACAATCTGTGTAGCATAGTGTAAAATGATAGTATGGGGCTATTATCAGTATGTACAGCTGGATCCTCTAACAAGGCTCGTGCTGCAACAGCTCTGTAATGTGCAGTATGTACAACTACAGTAGTCTGGTCATGCGCCCTCTGCTGATCATGGAACCAACTTCAGTTCTGCAGAGCTGTGTGGTTTAAACACAACACAACAGATTCGCTCATGTACCTTATCACAGGGAACTGAGTGAAATTTGGAAAAATGGGAAGTTTAATGAGCTCGTTTGCACTTTTGCTTTTTACTGTCGTATACAGTGGGGCCAAAAAGCATTTAGTCAGCCACTGATTGTGCAATTTCTCCTACTTAGAACGATGAGAGAGGTCTGTCATTTTCATCATAGGTACACTTCAACTATGAGAGAAAAAATCCAGGAAATCACATTGTAGGATTTTTAAAGAATTTATTTGTAAATTATGGTGGGGAAAAAAGTATTTGGTCACCCACAAACAAGCAAGATTTCTGGCTCTCACAGACCTGTAACTTCTTTAAGAAGCTCTTCTGTCCTCCACTCGTTATCTGTATAAAAGACATCTGTCCACAGCCTCAAACAGTCAGACTCCAAACTCAACCATGGCATCGATCTGGGGCTCCACGCAAGATCTCATCCCGTGGGGTCAAAATGATCATGAGAACGGTGAGCAAAGATCCCAGAACTACACGGAGGGACTTGATGAATGACCTGCAGAGAGCTGGGACCAAAGTAACAAAGGCTACCATCAGTAACACACTACACCGAGACTCAAATCCTGCAGTGCCAGGCGTGTCCCCCTGCTTCAGCTAGTACATGTCCAGGCCCGTCTGAAGTTTGCCAGAGAGCATATGGATGATCCAGAAGAGGATTGGGAGAATATCATGTGGTCAGAGGAAACCAAAATAGAACTTTTTGGTAAAAACTCAACTTGTCATGTTTGGAGGAAGAAGAATGCAGAGTTGCATCCCAAGAACACCATACCTACTGTGAAGCATGGGGGAGGAAACATCATGCTTTGGGGCTGTTTTTCTGCAAAGGGGACAGGAAAACTGATCCATGTTAAGGGAAGAATGAACGGGGCCACATATCGTGAGATTTTAAGCCAAAACCTCCTTCCATCGGTGAGAGCCTTGAAGATGGAACGTGGCTGGGTCTTCCAGCATGACAATGATCCCAAACACACTGTTCGGGCAATGAAGGAGTGGCTCCGTAAAAAGCATTTCAAGGTCCTGGAGTGGCCTAGCCGGTCTCCATACCTCAACCCCATAGAGAATTTGTGGAGGGAGTTGAAAGTCCGTGTTGCCCAGCGACAGCCCCAAAACATCACTGCTCTAGGGGAGATCTGCATGGAGGAATGGGCCAAAATACCAGCTACAGTGTGTGCAAACCTGTTGAAGGCTTACAGGAAACATTTGACCTGTCATTGCCAACAAAGATTATGTTACAAAGTACTGAGTTGAACTTTTGATACTTATTTTCCACCATAATTTACAAATAAATTCTTTAAAAATCCTACAATGTGATTTCCTGGAATTTTTTTTCCTCTCATTTTGTCTCTCATAGTTGAAGTTTACCTATGATGAAAATTACAGACCTCATCTTTCTAAGTAGGAGAACTTGCACAATCAGTGGCTGACTAAATACTTTTTGGCCCCACTGTATAGATAGAAAACGAAATAAATGTAGGATTTGGACAGCTGGTTGATTTAATCCAAGAAATCTGAATACGTCACCTTTTGGGGAAAATTACATTTTGGACACATCCTTGGAGTAATTACAACTATATAAAGCACATTAAACATGTCGGTACAGATAATAAATGGCAGATTACCAGATTTTACCAAAGTGGTGCTTGTACAAATACTCGGACTGTGCACTAAGCCATATTTGCAACAGATTTATTGATCCAAGTGGAGTTTTAAAGTCACCCTATGTTGTAGGAGCTGACCACATCTCAGAGGAGTGGAGGGAACATATTGCAGATGATGTATGAGAAACCGGAGAGGTGGGCCTACACTTTCCAGAGCTACGCCTGTATCAGCCGGGTGCGTGCTCAGATCCGTTCGGCCAATGGGAAGCTCCAAGAGGCTGAGAATCCTGTGCAGTTCTTCGAGCGGTCCATCTACAGTGACAGGTATCAGTGACAAAACTGCCAGATATCTAAATGTAATAAAAATAATTAAATATACATTTTAATTAAATGGGTGATTCAGGTGAATTTGCATGTTTAAGACAATTGGATACATATGTATGAAAATCAATCTGAGCTTTTTACTTTTTGGTGAAAACTGTTTGGAAAGTGTCGATTAATGTTGAGATAATTCGGTGAAAATTAACGTAACAATTTGGAAGCTTTGTTGCTTTTCCCCATTTTTGTATAATTGTAAACTGAATATTTGGGGGTTTTGGACCGTTTGACAAAACAAGCAAGTTGGAGATGTCAGCATGGGCTCTGGTAAATTATAATTGAAATTTTTCACTATTTTCAGATTTTTTTAGTACACTTATTATTTCTATAAACATACAATATTTCAAAGTATGCTGCTGGACTGTAGCTGTTTAATGAAAGAAATAACTCAAATATTCTTTACAGTATATGTTAATTTTCTGTATTTTGAGCCTAATTTTTAATAAATTTTTTTTTATTCAAAATATATTTTGAAAAATAACCGCAGTAATGTGAAATATGTGGCTTTTTTCCCAAAAACTACGTTATTATAAGTTGAAACTTCTTGTCCATTAATTCCCCTCATGTCCTAGGTACATCTTTGCAGCCAACCTCTATGAGAGTGAGTGCCTGAGTGACACAGAATGGTCGGTCTACCAGGACTGGCATGGCTGGCTGCACAGTCAGTTTGGCAAGCACATTGAGCTGGACGGTATCATCTACCTCAGAGCTTCACCGGAGGTACTCTCCCTAGTCTCCTGAGCTTCCTTTACTGCTTTGTTCAATATTCGATTATAGACAGTTGCTGTGGAAAATAGTAATGTTTTAATTTTTGACCACTAGAAAAAAAGAATGAATCTAAACAAATATCTCAATCGTGTGTGTAGAGCTGTTTAGAGCGGTTGCACCTGAGAGGCAGGGAAGAAGAGCAAGACATCCCTCTGGAGTATCTGGAGAAGCTCCACTTTAAGCATGAGAGCTGGCTGCAGCACAAGACTATGACGTGAGCTTTCACATGCACACAGACTTTCATGGCATGTTTGCATCAGAAACTGTATTTCTGTGAGGACAACAGATGTATTTGTATTATAGAAGAAAGGGGTGTTTGTTTATCTGACTGATCTTGGCCATTTGAAAAAGACCTCATTGATGCAATAACATAAAAGGCAACTAAGACTTCCAGTCCAAATCATTTCATTTTATATTTATCATATAGCATGTCCACATTGTATCTAGTTTGATTTACAATTTTTTTTTGACATTACAAATGCGTCTCAGTCCAGACTCTAGATGCTCAAATCAGATTCCAAAGTGTCTTTTGCGTTACTCGCAGACACTCCAGAGTGACAGAAGTTCATCAGAGTGGCTGAGCAGAATCCACACTGCGTCGCTGAGTTCTGCACCGCAACTTGCCAGCGTGATATTTGTAGGGGGCGAGAAAATGGATCTCCATTTCTCATGGTGCTGAAAGGTTGCGTCACCAGCGTACATAGTTACTGATGCCCACATCGTAACCACAGTAGCGCAGTTTCACACCTGCCACGTTAAAGGGTTTATGAAATGGATGAGGCTGGAAATAGCAGGTTTCTTTTTGTCCTTTCTGTGCACAAGATTTCCCTACAAAGATGAAAGCTTCATCACCTAAAGGAAAAAACTTGAGCAAGATGGAAAAGGATGCTTTTTCCTGCATATGAATTGTTAAGCATCACTAACTCTGTTCCATGTCGTCTCTGGCTCACAGCATGGAGTTTGATTATCTCAGGAATGTGCCAGTCTTGTCCATAGATGTGAATGAAGACTTTAAGGGGAATGAAATCAAGAGTGCTGACATGATTGAGAAGGTGAGTGACAGATTTGAAATAGTCAGATAATGCTTTTTGGATTTGTCTCTAGTGAAATACTCTAAATGGACTTTAAGGTCAATTTTACAGGAGTCAAATATCCTGTTGGCCTTTATACCTACTATAAATCCCACAGAGGGTTTTGTATTTGTATGTTATAACCCACCACCCCACCTTACAACATTGATTTTGACTTATACATTTGATTGATGTTACTTTACCAATATTAATATTTTATATAAAATAAAAGATGAGATTTTTTATATAATATATTGCTTTGCATAAATCTACCCAGCTTTAAAGCAGTTAACTTGGCTCTATCAGCTGCAACATTGACATTCTGCTTATATATTTAAAATTAGAATTACAAACAGAATTACAAACTCCACTTGAAGTCATTTCTTTCTATTACTGAGCCCTAAAATCTAGCTTTCTTAAAACAAGTGTCAAAAAAGTTTCAAATAGAAATGAAGTTGTTTCAAGAACAACAAATGTGTGCGCATTTTGAAAATAGACAGAATAGGTGCTTGTGATTCTGTACTAGAATTAAGAAAACGATATTGATTTTAACTTCTAGAAATGAGTTAATTTGTATTGGAAGCATGTTCAAGTTTTGCCAGTTTTCAGTTGAAATGAGGCTTCAGTAAATTATCTTGATCTAAACATGATCCCTGTTTTATCTGTCCCATTTTGAAGAAGTTGGCATGGTTACTACTTGCAGAAATATGAAGTCTCACCTGTTGCAGGTCACTGACATTTTAAAACATTTGTGTACTGTGCTATTTTAAGGAAATAAACAGTCGGACATCAAGTATTTAAACAAACAAATTGCCTTATAAACAAGACTGTTTATTTGTGAGTTCTAATATTCTGTTTGTTTTGATCCTTGTTATGACTGGCAGCCGATACAGTGTTGAATTTTGGGAGCTGTGCGGCATGTGTGCGCTGCAATTGTTTTTATAGAATCAAGCATTTAAAATGTGTTTTAGGAGGTTATATACACTCTGCTAAGTGTGAACTTTTTGATACTGACACGCACACACCCAGGTGTCACCTATGGAAATGAGGCCCGAAAAGCTGCTTATGTAGTAGTTTTATGTTGTTGGTAAACACAGGTGCTTAGTAGAAATTTCCCTCCTATTCAAAAATTAACATGAAATGGACCAAGCAACACTCACGCAGTGATTTGCACAAATGACAAAAACCAACTTGCAGTTAGTGTCACCGAGGATGGGTAGAAAAAGATATGATTGTCACCGACGTTAGTATTCACAGTATTCATGCTAACAGTTTGTCTGTTGTGGTTCTTTTTCAGGTGAAAGAGTTCTTGAGCACGTTGTAAAGATCAATTGTTGATGGAATATATAGCCTATGCGCAAAGGAAGTGAGTGTTGCTTTTTAAACCACAAACTGACACAACAATGACAATTATTTTTCTATACATTAAAAATGGTCCGACCTCTGGCAATTTTTAAAAAACTTTTATGGCAGTTTTTTGTTTGTTTTGCTTATTTTACAAATGTATATTTATAAATGTTCTGGGTGCAAATGAAATGCATGACAATAAACTTGAAATAATTGTGTGTTTTAGTTGTGTAATATGTACCATGGTGATGTCTAGCTCTTGTAAAAATAACTCCTGGGGGGGGGGGGTGTATCTCAAATCAAACTATGTTTATAGTTTAGTGAAAACCAGAGATCCAGTGACTGTTCTGTAATTAGTGTCCTAAGTTCATAACTAGTCTCCTTGTCTTACAACTCTTCCAGAAGATGTCGCCAGTCTCTAACAGCATTCCAGTCAGCTATTTCTGACTGCTGAGCTTCCCTTTACCTGGTAGCGCCAATGCGATTTGTTTAAAGCTACCTGAAATAGATGCCTTAATTTTCACTTATAATGCTTTATAATTACAGAGATCCTGTTACATTGTAAGATGAAGCTCATATACTTATCTGATGCATGGTAAAAATGAAGACAGTTAAATCTGAACTGAAGATAAAGTCTAGTTAATATTTAAGATGTGTGTTTCGCAGATGTGCGCTTTTTCATAACAAGCAACTGAATTTAAGGTAATATTTGTAAAAAATGATACTGTAGGGATTCACCGGAATTCGCATCCAAACAATTGCTTTCTTTCAGATGCGAAGTGAACAACAGAGAAACCATTTATCAGGTTCAAGGCTTTGGTGCGCCACTTTCTGACCTCCACCCCCCCGGTGGCGTCACGCAAGAGGAGGGATGGCACTTTAAATATGGAAAAAGGACACGCTGCGCTCAGAGGCGCTATGCGAGACACAAAGCGAGCCTTTTCTTTACGATGTCACCCAGGTACGACCCGAAGAAGTCCAGTACGATATGAGGATTGTGTGTTACATGTTAAATTTGATTTCTAGAGTCGAAGAAATCATTCCAGCGCGATAAGCTCTGGCTCATCGACTTCTTTCTTACTTTTTGTCAACTTGAAAAGCGCAACAGCTAGAGTAGGGGACGATTTTCAAACATCGACTACAAGAGCAATTTGAAGTGAGCAGAACGACAGACTGATCATCTCCAAAGGGGAAGTTTTTCACCATGAGTTCCGAAAAGACCAAGTAAGTTTGTGATCGCTCTTCTTTCCTTGTTGAACTGCTTACTGCAGCCCGTTCTGCTGGGAGCCGTGTACTCCATGTGTTAGGGGCATTTCCTGGCCATGTAAATTAGGCATCAGGTGAATGTCGTTCACCAGCTAATACACATTCAGTGTCGTTGTTATGCGGGTTATTAGATAACGTTCAGTGCGTAAATCTGGGTTTAGTTGACCACTGGGGCCATACCTTTTGTAAAACTTGAGTGGACTATTGATTAGGATACTAAACAAGCAAGACATGTTTTCATTCATTCCAGTTACACCCTGGGCTGGATAAGCCAGTGTTGCTACACCACTGTGTTATGAACGTCTGTTAATCTTTTTTCCAAGAACTTGTCACTATTAATTAGAGAGACGCGGGGTGTGCAGGTCAAACGTTGGAGACATGTCTCCAGTGCAACTTTATGAATAAAGGTGTGTGTGCCTTGGAGCATGTGGTCTATGAGCTGACACCCCAAAAATCCACATTCGTAGTGGGCCAGCGTGTGCGTCAGCGGTGCGCAATGACGCGGATGCCAGAGCCTCAACAAATCGGACCTCACTGGTTGCTATCAAACACTTACGGTCTGCATGCACTTTCTGACATGCACCTGGAATTCATTAGCTGTTTGGTTCTTCATCTTCAACAAGTGTAAAGTAGTTACGGATGTTTGGCTTTACAGTATCAGTCTTACTAGGTTGGCCATGTGCTCTCAAAGTGTTACACCCATTCCAAGAAGCAGTTAAAAAAAGAACATCCTAAAGTGACATAACACTAACCATTATTTAAACGATGCCCCATCCTCCCTTTTAACAATGGCAGTAGTATCTGTAAAAACACAAGTTAATTCCTCATTCTTGTCTTATTATAGAAATTGTGAAATCTGCTCTTTACTGTGTATCAACCATTTACTCCTCCTCTTGGTGTTAACTAGAATCTTGAATGCTCTTTTGTGCACTGCTGAGTGATGTGCAACCTGACATCAATTTATTTCCTCATCTGTTCAAGTGTTGCAAGAGGAAATTCCAAATGTCAAGGCAGACCTGATGAGTAGCTAGTTCATTACATGTCAGTCAATGCATAAAAGACCACCTGAATATATGTGGTATGTCCTTTTCACCCCACTCTGATCTACTTAAAAAAATAGTAATAATGTAAACCTATAAACTGCCACAACCTTCTACATTCCAGCAAAGTAATTCTTCAAGCTTAAAAACACAGATCAAATATCGCTTTTGGGTGGAGTATCATGTTAAGTCTCCCACATCATCACTGAATGGCTTGATGCACTCACTGTGCTGGGGGCACCTACCTTCATGGTGAACATGGCTGGTGGGATTTGGTGCGTCATTCTGTAAAGAGATGTGGATGATCCCTGATCCCAAGCAGCTGATCCCGGCTCCTCACGCAGCAACAGGTTTATCCAGCCTCATGAGGTCACCAAGAACCGAAGCAGAGTGAAGGGGCGAGATGGATCCAGCTGGTTGTTTCCGTGATCCTCGCACAGCTTGTGATTTATTTATTTTTTGTTGGTAATCAGGCAGGGGAACTCATAGCAGGAAATGGGGAAAAAAAGATCACAAAGATTTCCTGCATTTACAATGACGTGAATGAGGAGACATGGGATCTTATCTGCCTTTTGTTTTCATACGCATACACAAGATATCAGAATCAGAAATACTTGGGGGGAAATTCTGTTATATGCATTAAGCCTCTTCTGCTTTTTTGCTAGCCTTCCTGCTTTTAGACTTTGCTGACTAATGCAGAAGAGTAGATTTAAGTTGTCTATCAGCTGCGCCTTGCATGTCGCCTTATCCTTTCCTCCACATTTCATTCCACTTTATGTACCGGCTAAATTATTTTTTAGTTTTCCTACATCCCAGATATCTGTGAACCACCTGTGGTATGTTTCTCATGATAAGGGTCTCCCTGTCTGAGGCTTCCGTGTGGAGTGAATATCATGGTTCCAGCAGTAAACCTGCAACATGAGCTTCCTTTACTTTCCTGTGTGGCCAGTGGTTTTCTGAAGGCCTTGTCACTGTGTTACATGACCTGCCCCCACCCGCACAAACACCATCACCAACAACCAACTTTGGTACCTGATGCAGAAGTAAATGCTACACAACTGAGCTGTGTTCCTTGAAAGATCCTGAAACCCATTTACAATATGTACGATGTTTGTGCAAGAGTGAATTAAAATAGCTCCGCCCATTTGTTTCCAGTTTTAAATGAGTCTCTTCTCTGTTCGCTGGCCATATTGTCAGTGACCCTTAAGGCTGCATTACAATAAGTGGTTCTTAACAAAGGAAAACAATGTGACCAAATTAATTCCCTGAAGCTGGTGGTATTACCTGTGTGATCTATACTTGCAGAACAGAACATGCAAAGAAATCTGGAACTAAATGGTAGCGCTGGCCCTCTCTACACGGTGCCCTGTGGGAACTTGACCTCCCTTTTTTTTGTAAGCAACAATGGGCAACAAAGGAGGGTGCAGAGGCTAATCACTGTTTTAAAGTTCCTTGTAAACTTGGCACCAAGCCCGGCCACTCCTCGTCACTTATTTGATCTTGGAGCTGGTGGCTTCACATTATGTCTGCTATCAGCGTTATACCTCTATCTCTCTCAAGGCCAGATACCATATCCACAGGGGAAATTCAGATGAGCTCGCAGTGCAATTGGAAGAACAAGTTGTATCCTTCCTGACTTTGTTTATTTAAAGTTTGTGTAAACTGCTCCCATCCCCTCATTTGTTGATTTGTGTCATCCTCAGTTAGGGATTGTGGCAAATGGAAACTGTTCATATGTGTATCGACATTCTTGATACGCGTCCGAAATCAAATATTTATTTTTGGGGTGTTTTAACAAAACTATTCTCATAAAAAAAGTTGTTCAGATCAGCCATGGCAGATGACTCCTTAATTTGATGGTGACACGCTTATGTAGTCCCAGCACAGTCTGAAGGAATAATTTGACTTTGAGGCTAGCTGTCCTGTGTTTTGAGATGACCACAATCAAAATGTGACACAAAAAAATGTATTCCTAGTTTAATGAAATATTGGCTTCCGTTTTTCTTTACTTTTTGTAAACCGGCATATTGTTTCTTTTGTAGCCGTTATGGCAGAAGTGCATTTTGAGGGATGGTTAATATGTTGCGGTCTAATCCACCTTTCGTGGCCTGGGTCAGTCCCATACTTTGCTGGACTGAAGGAGCCACATTCCTTGATCAACAGAATCTCTAAATTATGCAGCCTAGCAAGATGTCTCTGATGTCGGGACATACACATACATAAAGCCTTCTTTGTGCACTAAAAGGTCCAGTATTCATTTAAAAATGACCAATCACAGCTCCGTCTTAAAAGTGCTGCACAATTTATACATGGTCTCACTGAGAAAAAGGATGTATTCATGTCGATTGCAGCAATGTAGGTGGTCAGGAAGTGACATTTCGGTCATTTGTAAAATTAGTTACATATGACCAAAGTTAGCTGAATAAGAAGTTACTGACTAGAAGTGACTATCAGGATTGGGTTTCATGCCACAGAAGTGGGATTTGAATAAAAATATGGCATCAGTTATTGGCCTGAGGGTCGAACACTGCTTTAACAGTTTTTGATCGGAATTAATTTGAAGATTTGGTTGTGCCATTTTGTTCTTTGTTTATTTTTAAGTATATTTTACTGTTTTACAAAGTGGAAGTCTGTATTATGGTGGAAATGAGGGTGAATTAAGACTGAATGAAATTGGGGCAGAATGTTTGCAAGCATATCCCATGCTAACCTATGTGGTCATGTGTAATCATTTTTCTGTTTTGCTTTGTAGAGTGGAGGATGAAGCGGTGCTGGACAGAGGAGCGTCCTTTCTCAAACATGTCTGCG